GCGGAGAACAAGCTTCAAAGGCAATACGGGATATCCGAAGCTCGATTTCCATACACTTTTTAAGGAAGCTGAGACCTTGAAATCCGATACGCTCGAAACGCTCAACTACTTTGCATATTTTCACTATTTCTCTTTCTGGTTTGTCGCTCAGATACGTGACTTTGCGCTTAAAGGGTGCCCAAAGGCTTAGTAGATAAATTGAGAGCGAACAAATATAAAAGACAAAACTATACGGATGCTTGATAATTATTCTTCACCAAATCCCTGCCGCATTGCAGCCGCCGATGCAACATGCAACATTTGCAGTCGCTCGGTAAAATCCAACCTGGATGCCATCAGCTTGTCGTCATTTTTATGACATTTCCGATGAATACAAAATGCTTAATTAAATGCCTTCGTCGCACACAAATTGCGATTTTCCTAGGAAAATCCCGATGTGTCTACCCATTTTCCTTTTTCCATTTTGCGCCCATTCTCTGCATGTGATGACACGCATAATTTATTCAATTTTCATGTCTCTGTGTATGCGTGCGTGTGCGCCGAGTTAAGGTTTTACGCGTCTCTAATGCTTAAATTACACATTCAAACACACGCACACACCCAGTTGCCGCAGTCATGTGCGACATTTGGTTCGCAGGACTTTTTGCCAACGTTTTGTTTCCCACTTGGGCAAATAACCCCAGCCGGGTGTTTTTTCCCTCCATTCTTGTTGCGTATTTACTGCAAAGATTATTTGCAATGCCGTCGTGCTCGTTCCTCATTCCCATTGTGCGCTGCTGATGAAGGGGAATAATGGTGATCCAGAGGGGTCTTAAGGGGGTTTTCTGGGTGCCCCAGCATGCGGCCGCTCTGTATACAACAAATCACTTTGCCGGCACAACACTTTAATGTCGAGGATTAGGCATTAAGGTGAGATTTCCAAGTGTTTCATACACAGGAGCGTCGACAATGGGGTAAAGTAAATGTTTGCTAAATGCATATATATCGATGTGTACTTTTGTAAACATATTTTTAATATTTATTTTTTATTTCACTATTTTCCTTTTAATCATAAAGCTCTTATTGCACGCCATTAGACTTCAAACTACGCACCTGACTTAAGTCAGCAGATCTCTTCTAAATATATGTAGCCTATATATTTGAGTGCTCCATTTGCATTGTTAAAAGTCATTTTGCTTAAGGCAAATTTCTATATGTGCAACTGAGTGTGTTTGCCTAAGTGCAAGGCAATGTGAGGAGAGCGGAAGTTGGTTTTTGGTAATATCAACCTCATATGCCAACGCTTACCCATATTTGCACTAAATACGTACGCATATATGCACACAGTTAGGAGCGTTATTGAAAAACTATGTTGACACAGTTCTGGGAACATGTCAAGTGGGAAAGCTGAAAGCTTTTACCGCACAACTTAAACAAAACGCAAATTTGCTTCATTTCAGGAGTGATTGCGAAATGAGTTCTTCACATAGACAGATTGAGGTGAACTGGTGGGGGACTTGGAGATTTGTAAGCATTTGACTAATTATAAATATTTGCAAATGCAGACAACTTTTCTCATTGCAATCAGTGGAGTGCAACAGTGACTGACATTTCAATGGGAAATTACGTACATAACATAATTATTTTATGAGCTTTTAAGGATCATCGACATTTCGAATGTACTAGACAATCGAAGCTGTCATTTGATTTAAGTGATATATATTTCACTTGCAGTACATTTTAAATGGTAATTATTTATAAGCATTTTTAAAAATGGTTTTGAAAGCGAAATTTGGTTATCGAATATCTGAAACAATTTTATTTTGAAACCTGTCCAATCCAGCTATTTAACAATTTTAAAACTCGCATTGAAAATTGTTTATGCTTCATTTGCTTTCGATTGCTTTAAATTACGCTGTATTTTTGCAAACTCAGCGTGAAATATTTGCCATGGATAGAAAGCTCTCACTTTTCCATTTCCGGCAGCCGTTTATTTTAAGAGTAAAGCGAAATGATCAAAATCAGTGTGTAATATTTTTCGCTTTTTCGCGTTCGCAAAAATGTTAAACAATTTAGCCCATTGGGGGGTTGGTTTCCTGCTATTTTACTGTGGGCGGGAGTGAGGCGTGTGTCGCCCATCAACTGCAAATTGCGCTCGCAAATTGTCTGCCGGCTCCCCATGCCAGAATTTCGTTGTCTATTTCGCGCCTGTAAATCGTAAATCAGCGCAGATTATTGTTGCTAACCCCAACCCGGGACTCACAACCATTTACATTTGTATCTTTTGCCTTTGCTGTCTGCGTTTTTCAATTTGAATCAGCTTAAAGCGGCCGCCAGCTCCGTCTTGCAGCTTTATCAAAGGCCGTTCTTCTTCATAAATATGCAAATTGTCTGGGGCCTTCCTCGGCATTGCCCTTCCGCTGCGGCTGCTGCCGTTTTCCAGTTCTAAATCGGATTTACTTTCACTGGCTTTAAGTTTCAGCCGCCTGTCTTGCCATCCCGGCGCTGGGGTCCTTTGTAGTCACGAAAATATTTGATTATTCGCCGCCGCCGCAGCACATGGATGGGTGGGAATACGGACCCACTTTTCCTGAGCTTCCCCCCGGGTTGCAGCTAACAACTGTGATTGCCACGAGACGGGGCACGTGATTGCAAGTGCCGGAGCTGGCCGCAAACAATGCTGCCATTCGGTTTGTGTGTTGCCGAACCTGGTCCATCTGAAACGGCTTGTGGTTGCCACCCGCATCACTCATACGCACAGTGGTTGCGACTGGCATTTGGTTGTGGGAACTAATCATTTCGCAGAGTTTATTTATTCACAGTTTTTTTAATTTACACCTGATTGGTAATCTCCATTTAAAAATTAGAGACATTAAAATTGGCATTATTAACAGTATTTTACTAAACTTAAGAAAATTAGGGCTTGTATTTATTTATGATTAAGTAATATAGTTTATGTGTTTAAACCTTTTGTTGATATTAATCGAAACCGTGTTTCATTCTCATTTTTAGACTTTACTGAAGTTGGTTTGCTCTATTTTTCTCAATTTTTTCATGTGTTTATTTTACAAATTGCAAACAACTTGCCTCAGGAATTGTTGAGCACCTACAGCCTTCGATAATTGAATGACGTTAATTAAAATCGTAATAAACAAACTCTACAGTAGTCATATTGTTTGGCAAAACGAGTAAAGCTTGCCATGCAAACACTTAATATGAACTTTATATATTTACTCATTTCCAAAGGCAAAATGTCAACTTTTTTTAAGCAACTAATTAAATAAATAATAATTGTGCTGTCAATTAAGGGAATTCTGAGCCCTGACTTGATTGAAAGTCAAAGTAAATTGAGTTGTGCGCGTTTTGATGTGATATCAGGTTACGATCCCATGGTGCCACCATCTTAACCGCACAAGAGGCACTTGCGCCACACCCTGGCTCGGATAATTGGAGCGACCTCCCCCTAATCATCATCCCCCTTACGGAGGGCTACCTGTACCGTCCCATGGGGATGGGGTGCGTGTGTTATCTGGGTTGAACTGGCGGCACTTTTGCTGCCATCTAATTAGACGTTGTGGCTGCATTAATTGCCAGGAACTTGGACTTTATGGCTTTTCGAGGTACAGGTAAAGATTCTTCGGTGCGGATACCAAAAGTTTTATTGCCGTGGCAGATAAAAGTCGAATTAGAGTTTGCTTAATTTGCGTTTGACGTTTTACTAGAACATAAATATACTTTCTTTGTCGGTTATATATCATGTGTAGACTTTTGTATTTGCACATAATATACCCGTTTGTGCGCAATATACTCGTTAATAAATAAATTGCCCACAGGAATTTCATAATACTTTTGCGAGCCGCTTTGCATGCATAATTCAGGCGTATGAATTTCATATGCCGTCGCCCAAACAAGGCAAAAATCAATCAAATTAAATTGAAAATTAAAATCATAAAGCTCCCAGTTTGAACCCTCAACTGAATTGTAGGTGGGGAGATTGTGGCAGAAACTTGAGCCAGATTTTCCTAGTTGCCGCAGTCAATTCAAAGCCCACAATTTCACAATTTAATTATCGATGGGGATCGGTAGAGGAATTGAACGTAAAGTTTTGAATGCCTGCCGGCAACTGGGAGTTTCTGTTTTTGTTTCTATTACTATTCACCAGTTTGCCAGTTTGTTCGGCTTTGTGCTGGCTAAACCCCTGACCTCTGACCTCCCTTGAGCCTTGGATATTTGCCCAAAATTTGCATTCTCCTTCATGAATTTAGGCCTCAATTTATAGAATTGTGCAATTGGTTCGGCGTACAGGCCGCAATAATTTGACTACAAACAGTCTCAGCAAGTTTTGAGTAATATTTGATAGTGTTGTGGTTGCAAATTGTTTTATTTCCTAAATCAAATCTAATTGTCGACGAATTTATACAGGCCGTAATCATTTCACCATGAAATGTCAGCTGTTAAATAAATTATCGCCCCAATGATTAATTCCGATTCCATTAACAGCACTCAAAAAGTGTCGAATTTTAGTAGTTTTAATTCGTATATTTAAATTTGTTGGCTTTAAATCGATTTGCAAAGTGGTAATTATATCTGCCGGCTGAAAGTATTTATTTTGAAATTTTTCATTTGCTGTTAATTAACATTCCAAAAGAAATCTCGGCGCTGTCGTTATTTTAGGAGTTCGAGGACAGTCCCCAAAAGTGCAAAATGAGTGGAAAAAGTTTTTCAATTTTCGCCACTGCTTGTTAATTATGAGTTTTTAACTACAAATCGGGCGGGCGACAAAAAAATGTTCTTGCAATTAAGGCAGCGAATTAAAAAACTGAGCAGTGGCTGCCAGTTGAGTGGCAGGGGAGAAATGTGAATGAATTAGCTCGATTTGCATGAAAATTTCATAAATATGTAAGCTGGACAGTGGGTTGGTGGTGGTTGGGTGTCGAATTGAGCACTGTGCACGGAAAGCGGCCGAACAGCAAACAAAATTGCAGAGCCCCCAAGGTACGAGTAATCAAAGCAAAAATTACCTAATTAACATAATCCGCAGTGGCCAAATGAGGCGGCTTCTGCTCCAGCTCCTTGTGTATTTATTTTTTTTTTTGTTTGGGGAGGTGGGAGTGTCCTGTCGGGAAGGATGTCGTCTGCTTTGGCCGTTGATTAGCGCCGCCTTTTGCTCCACACTCGCATTCGTGTCCTGAGTCTGTCTGCGTAAATCCTCGGTGATAAGTTGTCTAGGACTTGAACCTGTTCACGTTTCACGTTCTGATTAATATGCAGAGACGTTTAAATTTCGTTTTTGCCTTACTACGGTTTTCTTTTGGGGGTTTTGTTTATGGTTAATTCACTTCGCCTGCTGTTTGCTTAAAGGTTTTTCCCGGGCACTGATGCACTGCAAATGGATTTTCCACCGTGAGCTTACGAGCTAGCTTTCACCTGGTTTTGGCAGGCGAGCGGAAATGAGCAGATTCTTACACACACATTATGCACACTCAAACACACACACACGCATACATGCAGATGGCGGAAATGAGTGGGCCACGCGAAATACTTTATCCACAATGCTCGTGAAATCTCTTGAACTTTTCAAAAACTTACGGTTTGGATGCTATGAACTATGCGATAAAATAGTTTATTCAGAATATCTCATTTACTCGGTTCCTTTTTTTTAGTTATTAAAAGGATTCTCATTTGGAAAATCCAGTTTAATAATTTCTGTTTAAGTGGCAACTGCTGGTTCCTAAGTTTTTAGAGCTTTGAAATCCACAGCTTAATTGCTCAAATAAAATATTTTATTTGGACAAACTGAAATATATTTGTTCAGTTTATTTCATAAGCTCATAATCTCTGGCTTGAACATTTTTAGAGATAGTTAAAATGAACTACTGCAAATACGGCTAGATCCCTAGATATATAAGTATATGTGGCTTATGAAACTAATTTCGCTCCAAAGCTTCTAAATAAATAAGATTTCAGGACCATCAAGTTGGTCCAGTGTATTTAAACCACAAGTAAATAATATATTAGATACGAGGATGTTCCTATCCCAATCTCCGTTTCGACGCCTTGCTGTCTGCTAGCAAAAAAAGTTTGACGTTTCGCCTTCTACCACCGGAAGTTGGCTAACATCACAAATACCAACACAGCACGCACTCTCCAAACACACGCAAAGCACACAGTTGAACACAGGCTCGATATGCTACCTTGTATTTTTGGTCTTAGTTTAAATCGCACAGTTTCTGGAGGCAGTTAGTTAGTTAGTTAGTTAGTTGATTGTGGCCTCTTCACACGGCACTTGGCACTTGGGGTTTTTGGTTTTTGGTTGATTCGGCGCTATCTCGGGTCGCGTGTCCTGGCCTCGATGTATTCAGCACTAGACTGAGCTGCTCACTCGGCCAGGACATGCTTTTAAGCCAGCCTGTGGAGTTCGAAATTCGAAGTGGCCGTTGGGCGCCTGCGCTGCTTCTCTTTTCTTTGAAAGTAATATTTGACTCCCGAGCTCTTTGGCTCTCCAAGCTGCTGACTGCGTTTTGTTATTATTTTGTTTATGTCCCTGCCAGCAGGCTGTCTCTTTGTCGGAGTGTGTGTGTGTTTGTCATCACCTGTTAGCATTTGCGAGTCCTTGAAATCCGGCTCAGTCTCTTGCACAACCTGAGCCACCAAAATCCCCCTCGGTTAGCTGCGTCTGCTATTGACATTGTCTTTGCCATTATGTAATAATCACAAAGACACACACACGTGTTAAACTTCAAATTAATTGCTGCCCAAAAGTATAGGGATAGGTGGGTATGAGTACATAGTCTTTGGGTGGACATGGCAGGACATTGTCTGCTGCAGACCACAGGCCAAACACCAGGCACGTTCTAACTTTGCATGCCACCAGTGAGTGTGTGCAAAACACCCAGTGATGAAGGTCAGAACAGGAGGCGGCGTGGGTGGACAGAGACAGGGGGCGTGGCAGGTATGCGTTCAGGTGTTGTCCAGGTGCAGGCGAGAGCGCTAAAGTCATTAAGTGTGGCCTGCAAAGTGCGATGCGCCGTTTCAAAGCTGAACATAATATTAAACCATAAATAACCAGACCTATTTTTACCTATCACTCAATAAAATGATGGAACATACTAGCATAAATTCACCTTAATTCAAATGAACAAAATTCTATGAAGTATTTAAGTTGACAACGCAGTCATTTTGTTTAGTCCTTGAATTCAGTTTTGAGATCCTCTTTTAACTAGAATTTTTAACAAGCCTTAAGTCTTAAAAAATTATAAAATCAACTCATGTATAATAAAACCAGAGCTAGCTTAAGTCGGGTTATATATTTTGCAAATATGCCTTCTTATATCTAGCTTAAGGATATTGGATACTCCTGTACATTGATTCACTTTTACACCTACAGTTCTAATAATAAACAATTTAATTCAGGTTTATGATATAGTATCGCCCAGTTAATCAACCACATTTCCTACAAAACACCGAGTGAGTGTGAGTTTCAAAGAGCCATCATGACTTCCAGACTTTAGTCCTGTTCAGCACATAGCCTGACTGCCCTGAAGTTACCGCTTATTACAAGAACATCAACAACGCCGTAACGAGGTTCATGTTTAATGGCCGTGCAGTCCCCGTCCTTCGCGTGGAGTAAGGTGTTGCCGTGCCGGAGCGGAGCGGATCGGGGGAACGGCCATATCCATAGTCCTGTCGGGTGTCAGGGCAAACAAATGCAGCTACAAAGGCAGCCCAAAAGACATGCACTAATATCGTGCTGGCTTGGCTGTCCGTGTTGCATTTCTCCACTACCTCTCCCTGTGTCTCTGCCCCTGCCCCTACCCCTACCCCTACCCCTGCCCTCCAATCTGTGTGCCATGTTTTTGGGCTTACAGCTTGAACCTGACACAGAAAATTGTATTTTAATGACGGAGCATAGCGTCACTGCCAACGACAGGGACAGAAAGGCCAGTGGAGCCCCCATTCAAGACGTTAATAAAGTGACGCACACGCTGCACATTCCATGGTCGTAGGTGCTGGATGAAAAATGGTGCGGGAAGGTGGCACTTCCAAAATGAAGTTGTTACTGCCTGAAGTCCGGCTCTCGGATTGGGTGACATTTTTCGGAGGTCTGTTTGGGCACGGTGCCTGCAGCAGGTGCAACATCAGCAAGCTCCGAGCAAATGCCCCGGGTCTGGTGGTCTTTCATACGTATTCCATTCCAATTGCACTGTTTCGAAGGGATCCTGTGAAGTGTGCTTTCGACTAGCTTTGCATTTTATCAGGACCCTCACTACCACACTCCCACTCTCTCTCTTTGTGTGTTTGAGCCTGGTCGTTGTAACATAAGTACACTTGTTTATGCATTGCAGCAGTCATAATTATTGTTAATGGCCATTTGTGTTGCCGTGCTGCACCCGGAGTGCCCTCATCTATCTCTATTGGCAACTCGTGCATAATTGATTAAATCACTACGGTTGCACGTTTGGTTTAAATTTAAAGTTTGTACAGACAGTCCAGCGAATTTAACTTTGTATTGGGGAGCATTACTACCAATTAAATACCATTAACCAATGGACGGATATCATATTTTGTCTTTAAATAGGAAAATTTTTACTCAATCATCATTTACTATGATGTTTCCGTTTAACTCTTCTTTCGATTTTTATTTTATAAAGAAAATACTTGTTCTTTTTTGAGAGCATACTATTAACAATATTAAAGAATTTCCATCTTACATCCTAATAATATTTATTTACAAGAGAATTCCACAAATGTTAAATGCCTCGATTTGTTGATGTATCAGCATTGCTTATTAGTTAATATTTCTTCGTCCTACCCTGATTTATAAAATCTCTGACTTCAATTAAGTATTTCCATCGAAATTCAATCAGCATTACTGGCGTTCTGATAAACCTGATATTTAATAAGTATTTTCAATTCCAGTTGAGCCCGAGGAGAAGGGAAATCAAAACGAGGTCGAGCAGGACGAAGACGACGACGATGACTTGGATAACGAGGAATTCGAAGAGCAGGGTAAGACACAGCAGCACTCATCGCATAAATCTGTGATAAATATGAAAATAATTTGAGGAAATTTCAACTAATAAATGGCATTTGCATGTTTTCCATCCCCATTCAATTTGCCATTCCCATCTTCCCTTACAGATAATAGACTCACCGAGAAAACGTTCAAATTTGATGATTTCGCTCGCAGGTAAATAGGCCCTAGACCAAAAACCCCAAACTCATAAAGTTTTCGAATCAAGGCCAACCGCTTGGACACTTTAGCATTTACGAAATGTAATACTGGAACGGGACGGTGGGGATGCTTAAATTTTACTGCTGTTATTTAAAAAGTTATCATGGTCCCTCGCTCGGTTGAGCGGCGGTTTTGTGCTGATGGTCGTGTTGAAAATTGTAATTGTGTTTTTAATTGAAAGGCAGACCAGAGTCAGTGCTCGTGGCTACTAATTAAGGATTAGTGTCAGAAATTACTTGTGCCAAAAGTTTTATGGCCGCGAACTCGAACTGGAAACCGGCGCACACAGATGCCGCGGGCAGCTTAGAAAGGCAGCCACATCACCGACCCAGCAGCAACATCAGCGGCTGCACAGTGGCAACATCAGCAGCAGCACAGCAGCAACATCAGCTCACCCTGCCACAACAATTATAATAAAATGACGTCAAGTTGGTTTGCCCGTCGTATTTTAATTGCGCTGCCATTGTTGCTGCTGTTGTTTCGATTGTTTCTAAAACTTTGGCGCCGAGTGTAGAACATTTGCGGTCGCCGTGGTCTATGCTGTTTTGGGGCGGCTGGCTGGATAAACTCTTAAATCATAATTAGTTAAATTTAGCATAATTTGATTGGAGTTTGGTTTATAATGACCGCCTGTGTTCTTGCTCTCCCCTTTAGATTGCTGAATCCGAAAATCGTTCGCGCCTGCACATTAGTGTTATCAGACTGGGCAGATATACCGACCCGATCTTTGAAAGCGGCAGTAACTATTCTACATCGCATCGCCTACGGCTGCAAGTGTTCGGGAATGCTTTTCCAGGTGAGTTGGATGGGATATAAGGAGTTACTTTTAAAGAAAATTACCAGTTAGGTATCCGAATAAGATAAAAAGTTCGAGGCAATAAACTGTTCTCGATTGATACAGGTACAGACGATACAGCTGAAGGTATTACTATTTAAAAAATTTAAGGGATGAAGTTAAATGTACAACGCTCAATGGTTTCCTTTTTAAATCTATTTAAGAGACCTGCACATAAATCAAAGTCAAACGCAAAAAACAAATGCCACAGCTTAGCTGCCGCTCATTTTCTTTTTGCTCTCTTTCTTTTACTGTCGCTGCTTTCATTTCATTTTTATGGTAATTTGTACAAATTAAGCGGACCTTTTTTCTATTTGTCCAAAGCCACAAACGATATTTACTGCTCCGCGCGTACGTATATATATTTTTTTAAGCGGGTTCGGCGGTGGGCTCGTTGGGTTTCCCTTCGGTCCCTCCGCTGTCAGCTGGAATTTGAACTTTTTAAGCCTTTCACGCGCTGCCTTGAGCCACAGCATCGGTTGGGTTCTATAGCGACTCAAATATTCAAATGTCTGTGTTTGAGTTGGCGATGTCCCTTGGGAAGAGTCTAACGCGATTGCCTTGAAGTTGGGCATTAAAGATATTTGCCGGATTTACTTGATGCTTTTATTTCAAATTTAAAGTGACCTTGTCATTTCCCTCGTCAGATTCAAGTTTTAAATTGTTGTGGCACTCCCTTGAGTAAGTTTTAATACAAATTTTAAAATATAAAAGACATGAAGCTATTTTTAAAAATTCAACGGCATCACTTTTATTAAAAACCTTGGTAAAAAATTTGTTAATAAATTTTAAAGGTTATTCCATTTAAATTTAATTTTTTCTGAAGAAATAAGTATTGAAACATATTTTACCCGATTATTCACTTTAAAATTCTCCTTAATAGAGCATTTAATTTTGTACCTTGCATCAAGTGCTTTCACTTCTTTCCGGATTTCTTTTCAACTGCTTATGCTGCTTTTCACGGCTGGCAATTAAACTTTTCTTTTCGGGCAGAGTTCATAAATCACATTCAGCAGCAGGCTGCGCGGCCTTCGCTTTCCCACCCACCGGGCTTTTCCGTTTCCATTGGCTTAAAGCGATGGTTAAAGCCTTGGGTTTCACGTAACAAAATCGCATGCAACCACTGCAGAGTCGCCGGAGAATAGCTAATCACTGGAGCGGCCAAAAACGGCATCGCATTTGGGGGACAAAGCCGATGTCTAGAGTCTCTGCATCAGGCTCCGCAGTCCATCTCGCGTCCCTCTTCTCGAGCGACAGGGTTCCCTATCAGCGTCATCTAAGCCGGCTCAGTGTCTGCTGTGCACAAGCGGCGATTAAAAGGACGACAATGACGATGACGAGAATGAGGAACAACCATCACTGCGAAAAAGTCTTTTCAAAATCAATATGTTTAGCAGGATGTATGTAAGTGTGGAACTACTTTGAAAATTTATCAGCATAGAAGGAAAAAAGTGTGCAGCGAATCTGAGACAAAGTTTCGCTAGCTGCGAATAAATTATTTCTTTTATTGCGAAATTTAAATTGTTTAAACAGGAATATTTTGACAATTTTGTATTTATCCAAGCTTGAAAAAATTGTAATATTTGCATACTTAACCAAAATGTTTGACTCCAATTTAAATAATCAAAACGGAATTAGCTTAAATTATTAACGAGGTTTATATTCTATACAACTACAAAATTCGGTGAAATGCTAAATGTATTGTTTAATATTATATATTTCCAAATTACTAACAAAGTTTATTTTTAATTTCTTCTGCAAATTTCAAAAAAGGATCCTTTTTATTTCAAGCTAGAGATCCCAATTAAGATGTGATAAGCATTTCTTTAAATGTATGTCTTAATTAATTTGATTTTTTTTTTTTTTGTTAATATTAGATAGGTTTTTCCCAGTGAACTGTTGCAGATATCCCTGTTCATGAGGCCATCAAAAGGAGCAGACTGCTGCTTGCCAGCCTGGCCACAAGCAAAACAAAAGTAGCATCATATGCAAAGTCAAAACCACTAATGGGTCTGCGCAATCATAGGATAAATTAAATTCCAAATACGGACGACGACAGTCGACAACGATACAGGGGCTTTCGGTTGGCTGGTTAGTTGGATGGTTGGGGGTTGGGGGTTTTTAGGGTTAGTTGTCGGGGCTTGGGTGGCATTTATAAAGTTTTTGCCAACTGCAAATGATATCTTGCTCAGCAGAGAGACAACCGCAGGCGGCAACCGCAGAGGAGTTGAATGATGGAGGACGGGGCGGCGGCTGCTGTGGCTGTCTTTCCAGAAACTTTTCATTTGAATTTCAAGCACAACCTAACCAACGCTTTGCCGCTTCTTCCCGTTCCCCAGGCCAAGCTGTTTCGCATCTTTCAACAAGTCTTCAGCGTGGAACGTGACGTCCATCAGGAGGAGCTGCGTCGCCTGGCCATCTTCGTAGTCCGCAAATTTGTCGAGGTGGCCCCGACTAATCCCAAAATCTATGCAGAGTTATTATTTTACAAAGGCATCAGGGAGGCAAATGAGCTGGAGTCGGGCTATTGTGACGCCTATGAAGCGTGAGTATGGTTTACTCTGGCATTGTCTCCTCATCTGGGGTTAAAGGGGCTGGGCCGTCACAATGGCCGCATGATTGACTGAGCCGGGGCTTCATCGTCTGTCGTTTAGTTGGCCCATGATAAATGATGGCCAGCGACCAGAGTGGAGTCTTCATTGTATTTTCACCCCCCGGCCAGTAGTCAAAGGGTCACATCCTCTCCATGGCAACTCAAATTCATGGAGAGACAAAAACGTCCTGAATATACTCGTATATTTATTGTATGAACTTTCCTTGCAGCGGCACCAAAGGAACCTGGACCGAGGAACAGGAGTCGGAGCTGCGATTCCTCTTCGAGGAGAACCAACGCAATCCCGAAACCGATAAGGGTAACTATTACAAGGGATTCAAGGATGCGGATCCTATACGAGCCTTTCAAATCCGACTATTTATAATTTAAACACTTATCTTGCAGGATAGTACTTTCAATTATAAATGTTTATTAAAACATCATGTTTTTTTTATGTTAAAATCATTTTTTTAATAGCCAACATTTTTAGAGTGGAATCCATAAAATGTTGTAATGTCAACCCAAAAAGTAGTTTTCAGGTACTGTAAAGTATTAAACCGATTATAGACTCATTTTTGATCGGCTTTAAGGCTTTGCATTCATGTTCGCATTGCAGCTGCAATTTTGGAAACTCCTCCAGAGTGCGAATTTAATCTCGTTTCGCTGTAAATGAATAGAAGCAATCAAAACTCCGGCACTAGAGCCACTCCAAAAGCAGCAGGCAGAGAAAGGCTGTGAATTGTCGGAAAACAACTAACCCATTGTGTGTGCTTTTTCAGATGTGATTGATTGGATTCTGGACAATTTGGCCGACAAGACGCGCAATCGTCGGACTGTCCTGAAGAAGCTAAAGGAATTGGGCCTGCAGTTCAAGGCGCCTACCAAACGTTCGACCAAGGCAGCCCAGGGCGGCAAAAACCTCTGGCAGCCGGAAGAGGATGAGGAGCTAAGGAGCTTATACGATCAGCATCGCATTGAGCCGGGTAAGTGGACAATCAGTTTGAGTACACAGAAGGAAAAATAGAAAGCAGGCTGAGAACAAGGGCGTAAGCCGAAATCTTAATTGATGTTGAGGAAATAATTAGGTAGGACTATTCTGTTTTATATTTGTGTTTATTCTCTCCAAATATTTAAATAGAGGCAATTAGCTAAAAGTAAGACATTTTAGGCTTGATGAGCTTAAAAATAAAAATATAAATAATAATAAAGGTATATTATTTGTTATTAATAGAACATAACACCAAATTAAAGAAGATACAAGTCTTTATAATTGAACATAATATACCTTAAATAAATCAATAACACAGCACCTGTTAAACTAAAAGATGCTTTAAATATATCTCCTTATATGTGCTTATCTTTTTAGACTGCCTGGAGCGTATTGTCCATGAGTTCGAGGAGCGGCGGTCCAAGCAGCAGATCATCAAGCGGATGTTGCAGATACACCTGATAGCGGACAAGTCAGAGATTCTGCCCGCCAAAACCGGCAAGGGGCGTGGTAAGGCTAAGGGGAAGCAGCCGGAAATCGGTGGTGATGGCGATGAGTATGACTTCGCGGAGGAGCCCATGTTTGAGGAGGAGGGATACAGGAAGCCCAAGACCAAGCCCAAGCCCAAAAAAGTCAAGAAACGTCAGGTGGTGCGCACACCCTTGGATGTGGGCACTGTAAAAGCCCTAATCGGTCAGGTGAATGCCGAGAAGTACCAATCTGCCATCGAATGGCTGCAGGAATGTCTGCAAGATGCCAGCGAGGATACGGAGGAACCAGCAGAGGAAGACGATGGCGTTCCACTGTTGCCTTTGATGCAGGACCAGAAGGATGCCATGGAGGATGGTGATTTCCAAAAGGTCCTGGTCGCATTGGGAATGCAGCCACCAATGGCGGGAATGGAAAACTACTGGCGCATTCCCACATATCTAAATCCAGCTGACCTCCAAGTGCGATCTAAAATTTTGTTGGGAGAAGAGGTTGATATGAAATCAGAAGACGAGGGCTCAGAGAATGATGAGGATGACGAGCAGAAAGAAGAAAGTGAGGAAGAGGAGGACTTTCTAGAAAAACAAAGCAGGCAGCGACAGGAAAACATATTAGCCGAGCAGCAACGAAAACTAGACAGCCTGATGTTTAACCAAAGCGATGAAGAAAACGAGCAGCGTGTGCCGCCCAAAAGCAAGGACAAACCCAAGGCCAGCGAAAAGAAGGCCAAGCGAAAGGTCAAAAACAAAGCCAAGGAGTCAAAGGACTTCGGTGACGATGGGGAAGACAAAACAGGGCAGCAGAAACCCAACACGGATGATTTATTTGACCACTTGAGAGCCAAGCGTGCCTCTAAAATCAAGCTGAGCGATATGGTTCTAAATGAGTCAACAAAGGCCGCTCAAGAGGCGGACGATGATGCATTTAACTTCAACTCGGAGGACTATCGTGCCCGTCTCCTCGAACTGGAGGACGAGGAGCAGCAGGACGAGGATGGCGGTGCCAATGTGGATAAGGAGAACAATACCAATAAGTCCATGCAGCGTGCACGTCGCGTTAATGTAATTGACTCGGACAGCGACAACGATGATGATGGCGCCTTGCCCGCCAACAAGACAAACAAACGCCCACGCAGCGACGACGATCGGGAGAATGGGGACGAGGATGCTGGCCACATGGATGCCGAGGAGGAACAGCGACGAGGAGGCCAACTTTCTGGCTCGCAAAAAACCGGCAAAAGTCGATGGGGAGCCAGCCAAGCGGCGACGGTTGGCCATCATCGATGACGATGATGAGGATGATTTTTAATGCATTCCCGTTCTGCTTTTGATTTTATAGCTCACCGGAATTGAAGCTCGAATAAATGTAACTTTCAATTTGCATATCAGCTTTTGTTTGTTCTTTTGTCATGTTTGTCAAATGTGACTCCTGTTTTTATGCGCATTATGCTTCTTGCAGGAAAGGGTATAGATTCGGGTATAAGAATTAGTGCTTGGATATAATAAAATAATATAAATATAATATTTTTGTATTGTAAGGTATAATTATTATGTATGGTGTATATGTATTGTTTTATTTAGACATATAATAATATTCACAGGTTTAAATAGGATGAACCTATCATAATCACATCCAGTGGATTTAAACATTTATTACTTAAAACAAAACATTTCTTTATTGATAATACGTTAATTCATCAAAAATAGGTAACATTGCGGTGTAACAAAATGAAGAAATTCCTTAAACATATTCCATTTATTTACCTACCATCATATACTGCCTATTGCGGCTGCCTGAAGCCATCACATGGGTAACAAAAGTGAACCCACTCCATTGTAACTGTCTGCCAGCAAACATGGCCTAGACCCCCTCTCCACACCTCCTCCTTCGCACTGAATCTTCTGCCGGGTAGTTCTATTACCTCTGCCATTCCCACAGTTGACTCGATGGCATTTCGTACTGGTCCATTGTAAGCAGCACACACTGCCCCACCTCTGGAGCCTTTTGTGTGCTTCTGCTAATTTGGTGGCTTTTGTTGGTCCGATGCTCCAGCTGGGGTGAGCATTGGCCTCGCTCCGTGCATTGCATTTTGTTAATTTCTGGCCAGAGTGAGCCGGTTCAAGTCCCATGTTCAGTTCGAGTTCGACGGTCAAAAGCATACACTTAAAAAAATCTTTCCAATTTTCTTAGGTACATCATTTTACCAAGCATAGAAATTGTAAATATATAACTTTGTATGGTATTTCAGTTATTGAACAGGAAAAGTATCAAATGAAATTAGCTTGTGTGGCCCCTAAAAATGTCTTTCCGAAAAATGTTAGGTTAATATTATTAAAGTACCGGGACGAAATTCGATTTTTCCCTGATCCTTACTTTGTAAAACAATAATATTTTTCAGGTGTAGGAGCTACGAATCCGACACTGTATGCAAATGCTCCGCACCAGCATTGTGCAACGCCAGTTGCAATTCACACAATCCACATTGTCGGAAGAAATAATCGCACTTAAATGCATTGCATTGTAGCAGCTTCTGAGGGCGAGTTGAGAGCAAAATACAAGTCACTGGCCATGGCCTCAGTCTTATTGTGTTTTTATTGGATTTTTGGGGCTGCACGTCTAACGAATTTGTGGTGCGTTTCGCAGAGGAGGACTTTTATTTTGTGACACTTTTATTGGAAATTACTCGGCCACAGATGAGAATGTGGTTTGATTGGGAAGCCACTTTAAAAGAAAATTGAATCCAATAATCAGAGCTGACTGTCTGTGCAGCTTCCGCATCTGGCTGCAACAGGGCGTATGCGTGATGCTGCACCGAAAGCTTTAATGAAATTAACTGCATAAATTTGAGCGGGCTGCGAAAAATCCAAGCCCGTGCATAAATCAGGGCCCAGACAGCCGACTTACGTCTGCGCTGGCTTAGTCACTTCATTTATTTTGCAACAGAATTAAAAGGACTCGACACACGAGTATGGCACCTGCCAAGAAAAAGGACCTCCTTCCACCGAGCCCTGTGAGAAGTCACATTATTAATTTCAAGATGGCGCGCACTCAATTTAAAAGGCAGCAACGAGCGAGCCGGTGATGAGCAGCTCATAATTTATTTCATTAATTTAATCAACCTCCTTGGCACATGTCAACTGCATGAGCCCTCAAAAGAATGCCACACCTTTTTATGGAGTTCGGGTGGGGGTATTTACAGCCAAGGCTAAGTAAATAGTAGCTCGAAGGGTTGGTAATTATAATATTTTGACTTTGTCAGTAAGTTTGAAAATGAAAAAATCTCCAGTAAGAAAACAAATCGTTTTAAGAAAATATTTCTGTTCTCTTTAATATTGTGCTAAGTGAAACTTTTATATGTACGTACAATTGTTCCAATTAGTGGTACTTTTTACTTCTTAAATTTAAAATCTTTACTATTTTTAGAATAAAGAGGACACTTTAAAGAAATAATTTCGTCTTTTTTATATTATATAAAATTATGGCGTAACAAAAAGTATTATTATTAATTTGTCAGCAACTGTAGGTGTAAGTGTGTCAAAGAGGTTGCCAAAGACAACAATAATGGCAAAAACAGCAGCCAACATCATGTTTAAAATCACTTAATACATCGTAAATTATGATAAAGCGAGGCCTGGGACTTGAATTTCCTTTTTTCGCTGAGCGCAGGAGCGGTTCATTAAGCCGAGTTTGCCGAGGAATGTGTGTGCGTGAGCACAATAAACTGTAACTGCTTTCATTAGGGCAACAAAACAGAAAGAGTTATTGCCCGGGCTTTTCACACGCTCATTTCCATCATTAGAACAAAGGCCGTGCAGATAGCGATGCCAACAGCTAACAGCCAGCAGATTAACCTAATCTGAGGACTATAAAGGCGGCTTTATTGTGACACAGACACACACCCTCACACACTCGCAAAACTTGCGACTTTTCATCATAACGGGAATGAGGATGTCGCTGACAAGGACGTGGCATATGCAGATGATGGTGTTGTTTGATGAGTTCGCCTTGCGTTTCTCCGCTTTTCCCCGGCTTACCAAGATATTTCCATTTCTCTCTTTGCGCTAGCAAAAATAAAAAAAAACATTGCTCACTTTTTTCTCTAAGCTATACATTTTTATCTATGTATATATAGTGTTTTAAAAGGTTTTAGAGGTATAATGAAAATATTTAATACCAAAATAAAAGATTTTTATTGTTTACGAAAGTCTTTGACTAACCAATGTGATTTAAAAAATTTATTGCTTTAATTCGTTCAGTTAGAACTCTTGTTTATACATCCTTTTTTTATAGCAAAGATTAGTCAAACAAGAAAGGAAAGCTAACTTCGGGCGGAGCCGAAGTTGAAATACCCTTGCAGAATATTCTGCAAATTATATTCTCCAAAATCATTCATAATGCATTCTTAATACTCATAAAAAATCCCAACTTCCTAACTTTACAAACACCAAAGTTATGGCATTTCCGATCAATCAGTTATATGGCAGCTATAAGATATAGTCGGCCGATCCTTATGAAATTTGGTACGTCGGATTGATCGGCCAAATATAAAACCCATAGAAAGTCCCAACTTCCTAACTTAACAAACAGCAGAGTTATGGCATTTCCGATCAATCAGTTATATGGCAGCTATAGGATATAGTCGGCCGATCCCGGCCGTTCCGACTTATATACTGCGTGCAAAGGAAAGAAGGGTGTGCAAAGTTTCAATTCGATATCTTTAAAACTGAGAGACTAGTTCGCGTAGAAACAGACAGACGGACAGACAGACGGACAGACGGACAGACGGACAGACGGACAGACGGACATGGCTATATCAACTCAGGAGGTGATCCTGATCAAGAATATATATACTTTATAGGGTCGGAGATGTCTCCTTCACTGCGTTGCACACTTTTGACCAAAATTATAATACCCTCTGCAAGGGTATAAAAAGTAGAGCTATTTATCTAGTTTTTCGGTGAAAGCTCTACCCCAATATTTAATCGATGCAATCTTAATGAATTTATAAGATGTGCAGTGTATTCGAAACTTCGCCCTTCGAGTCAAGATTTCCCCTCCCGTTTTTTCGGTTTTATGTGTGGGCGTTTCTCTTTCCAAGACTGTGTTTGTGCCCCTGGCACATGTTTTTCTAACAATCACACAATGTTTATACAACAGAAACTTTTTATATGCCGCTCATCTCGGCTCAAATTGAAGCAGATTTGGGCAAAGACAAAAAGCGCCTTTGACGTGTGATAAACACACTGCCAGATTCACAGGATTCGCAGGACGAGAATTGCGCGCAGAGAAAGCACTTTGGCAAAAACTTCATCGACTGCCTGTGGAGAGGTCTTCCTTTCCCCAGTCTTTGTTGTCGACCCGATGACAAACACAGTTCAGTGTCCCGTCTTGGCTTTTGGGAAATCATAACAAAAGCAAAAAGCGGGCAAAGTTTGTTTTGAAAACGCTGAAGCTGAGATACACTTGCCAACGTACTTAGTCGAGTGTTTACGCTGCGGATAAAGTGGCTTTGATTAGCGGCTCTCTGCTGAAATACTTTACTGGCAGCACTGAATCTGAGTTGAACAATGAAATAAATTCGTATACAATTACTTTTACCGCCTAAAAAGGTTTCAATGAACTGGGCTTACTAACTTTAAGTACTAATTATAATTTGTATTTTTCTGTATAAAGACAACTATAAATCGAAATCGATTAAAAATGCTTTAGATCCAATGTTGTTTCTCGACGCTGGTAAAGCCATGTCATCTTTCATACTTGATTATATTAAGTTAATAAATAACATTAATTAATTAATATAAATGTACTTATTTGTTCCTCGTAAACTTACTACTTTAGTATTTGTAATTAAGGACTTAAATGCTGTCTGTTATCATAAATTTTTTCTTTCTGTGTGTGTCCCTGGATTTCTATTTGTGTCTGCTTTGTTTTAGGGCAGCAAAAAGCAGGCTTTAATCTACACATGTGCACCAGGAAAGCGACTCTCGTTTTGGTCCTTTCTCAGGACACCTAAGGGCGTGACTCGAAAGTGTCAGTAAATAATTGTAAAAAGCGTATGTCATGCACTCTTTAGCCCGGCCCACTTTTGGCACAATGACAGTCTCGAACGGCCTTTGTTAACCCCAGTGGATCGAACTATCCGACCCACACCCTCCCAGAAATTCACCCTGTTTGCAACGGCTTACGCACAAACTTTGTGGACACTTTTCTCTAACGCCTGATGAGGGTTGGGTTTTGGGCCCGGGCCCCGAGTTCTGACTTCGTAAGCCGACTAATTGTTATTGTAGTTTATGTTGTGCCCGGTACAAGGGGCTTTCAGTGACCCTCATGATCCCGTATACGGGACTTAGCGTTTCAAATGCTCGTAGGAGGCTTAGCATTG